CTAAGAGCCTTTCTGAAACGTTGGTCTCTATAACAGTAAAGCAGCGGATTAAATAGAGAGTTCAACTGAATAAATGTCTGTGTAAACCGGTTAGGGGCTTTGTACGAAACAGTGGCACAACATTTCCTAAGATAGGAAAAAGTAATACTGGAATGGACGAGGATATTACCGCAGCGGTTAATAAACCAGTTGTCTTGGCAACTTTAGACTCCAGCCGTTTTGCTTTCATTAGAACGTCGATTTGAGAGATTTCGTTTAGATTACGATTGCGTATTCCGAGGTAAATCTTCTAATAGAAGAAGGCAATAAGAAATAAACAAATAGTTTCTACAGCAGCCCACCCGGTTAAAACGCCGTCCAAAACTATACGGTCCACAACGACCACTGTCAAAGCAAGGTATGCAGCCGTTGGGAAGAGTGCAGATAGCCAGGCACCTATCGCAATCTTTTTGAGGCGGCCATTCGTGATGATAAGCTTGTAGTCCATCCATTTTTGTACCGCCACGTACCTCTCCCAAGCAATGATAGTCAAGTGATCCAAAGTAACTGTGGAGAGCAAAGGCCCGAAGAACATATTTACCGCATATAACATACAGGTATACTCAAACGAAACTTGACTTAACGTAAAGAAATCAATTGTGGCATATGTCGGCATAACTATAAGGCCAACTAGAAGATCCGTAACGGCCATGCTTGACAACATAATGTTTGAGGATTTGTGTAGCTCTCTTCTTTGTTTTATAGCCAGGATTATTAATGCGTTCAAAAGAACGGTGGGAAATGAAGCCATGACCGTTGTAAGGCCTATAATCAAGTGAAAAGCTGAACCCCCGACTTCCCATGATATGTGGGGTGCGTACGGGAAATAAAACGTCGAAATGAATGAATTGATGCTTGTTTCGTTGTTGTTTATGTCCATGCTGAACGTGAAGAATGTCTCTCGTTGGGATACAGGGTCCGTTAAATAACCAAATCCCTCTCTCGATCACATGCGGTCTTCAGCTTCGGCTTTTAGGCCTGTCTGCCGTTCCTTCAATCAATCCTATGACGAGTAAAATAAAAACGGGTATAACTCTCGTTAAAATACGCCTTTGTTTCCTGACTAATGTTGAATGTAACTGACCTGTGTTTCCTACCTGAAGGTAAACCATACTCTGAAGGGACTCAGTTGTCAATGAAACGACTCCAGAGAAAGGTTAACAAAGGTACAAATGCTCTATTTAGTCATGCAAATCTTTTTTCTTTGGGGTGGGGGGCAGATGGACAGAAGGTATACAATAAGTCTTATGAATATAAGGTATTCATTGATACTTCTATGCACCATAATTTTCGTCTTCGTGTAGCACTGACTGTTTGCCTTAGGTCTCTGATCGTTCTGTGTATTATAATAATCATTGGCCTTTCAAATAGGAGATAGTATGCCTGCATTCTTTTGCTGTGAAGTTGCAGCTTTTGCGTCAGCTAACCCAAAGGCATTGGTGTACCTAAGCTCAATTACCAGTCGCTGTTCTGGAAAGGAGCCCGCGCTCCACCTTAGACTGCACTCGAGAGAGCGGCGGAAATCGAGCTTCTAGGGTACCAGTGTACCACTGTTTTGAGTTGGGAGTACGGTGGTGCGGTTATGACTGTCTTGCGCATGAAAAACTTGAATGGCCTAAAGCTCGTTAGATAAAGTATACGTAAGGAAAACTCTGTCGCCTGATGTAGTACGAGTTTTTTTCGGTTCTAAAAAAGTTCAGGCCAAATATCGCCAACAGCAGCTACTGATGTCCGTTTAATAGCACTTCCAAGCCCTAGTTGATGTGGCTAAAGCTGTTCGCTGTCTAAAGCAAGCAGAGCATTATCACTACAATGCAAACTGCCTAATTACGGGACTAAATGGCGACCCGTCACATCTCAGTGCACGTGGACGCCGCTTACTAGCAAATCGTTAGACTTGCACCTACATTTGACTGAATGATGTCCTCGGGCAGACTTTAGAAAATAGTTATAGAAAGCTAATCGATCGTCAGCTCCTTCTTCGAGTCACCGGACGAACTAAAATTCATGAACGAGTGTCTACTTGGTCAAACTTAACACTAATTGAAAGGAGGGGCTTCGCAAGCAGCTCCCATAAGGAGCCCNCCCCCAAAAAAAAAACAATCACAGGTTACATGAATTAAGGAGTTCAAACCTAGGGGTATGTTTTTGGAAAATCAGTCAGATATATAAATAGATATATACATAGCTTACATGAATGACCCTCAATGAAGGCTTCATTTCTACGAGCGTGTTTTTGAAAAATCAGTCAGATACATACAACTCTTGCGTTTTGTTAGCCTGTGTTACAGCCACACTCCTCGAAAGAAAAAAAAAACTGAGTTATCAAGTGTATTGTCTCCGTTTGGTTTATTATTATTATTATTATTATTATTATTATTATTATTATTATTATTAT